CCGTAAATACATGATCTTCTTCAGCAAATTCTATATCTACCAACTCTTCATCGTTAGTGACAGTTTCTAAATTGGTAGATTCATCTTCATTTTTTAAGTCTTCGTCAAAGAATTTTTGTAATTTCTCTTCCATGAGTCCTCTCCTGGAGCTCATTTTTCAGCAAGCGCTTATTATTTTGTTTTTCACAAATGATTGTACACCACACTCTCAACTCTAAACTTCAAACGATCAAGTCTGGTAGAACACTAAAGATACTCGACGAACTCTTCCGAAAATAGAACCCACAAAATCCAATCACCCTTCTCAGAAAAATAAAAACAAAACAAATATCACGTACATTTGGAAACACTTCTGGATACAGGTGGATCCATAAACAACAGATGTGTTTGTTTCATTTCAATGAAAACCAAACTGATATTTCAAATGGCAAATACGTTAAATTGTATGTAAACGTTATCTTAAGGATTTAAGGATATCATGAAACATCACGTCTCCAATTTACATATAATAAATATATAAACATTTGAATTTTACTACTAAGTCCAGGCGTCTATCTATCTATACAGCCCTAAACATCCATCCTTGGATATAGGCCTCCTCCTCCTTCTTCCATGCCTCTCTATCTTGGGCAATTTGCATCCATTTTGACCCGGCGTGTTTCTTCAGGTCATCTGACCATCGCATTTGTGGCCTTCCCCTTTTTCGTTTGTGATTCCATGGTCTCCAATGTATAATTGTCTTAGTCCATCTTTCATCTTTCTGCCTTAGGGTGTGTCCGGCGAACTTCCATTTAAGCTTTGCTACTTGGGTTGAGACATCTTTCACTTTTGTTTTATTACGGATCCATTCGTTTCTTTTTCTGTCTGATAGTTTAATGTTCAGCATTTGTCTTTCCATGGATCTTTCTGTCTTTGCTATTTTTTTAATATTTTCCTTTGTAAAAGTCCATGTCTGAGAGCTATATGTGAGGACAGGGAATATACATTGATTAAAGACTCTCGTTTTTGTATTGGGGTATTGGGGGTATTTTAAATTCTTTAGAATGTAAGACAATTTTCCGAATGATGCCTAGGCCAATCTTATTCTTCTCTTTATTTCTTCGGTCTGATTATCTGTATTTAATTTAGTGATTTGGCTAGATATATATACTCTTTTACTTGTTCTATTCTTGTTTGGGCCACTGTAATTATTAGTCCTTCTGGTTAATTAGTCATAGTTTTTGTTTTACTGTAATTTATCTTGAGTCCAATTTTTGTCGATTCTCTATCTAGTTCTTCCATCATTATTTGTAATTCCTTACTTTTTCCTTTTATTAATACAATATCATCAGCATATCGTAACTGATTCAGATTTTGCCCGTTTATGTTAATTGCCAAGCCATCCCAGTGTAGCCGTTTGTAGCGCTTGGTTGAATAGCTTGGGCGAGATGGTATCTCCTTGTCTTACCCCTAGGTTTATTTTAATAGGCTCCATTTGTTTTATTAGCTTGATAGTTAATTGCTAATATTAATTATTGCTTCGTTTGTTTTATTAGCTTGATAGTTAATTGCTAATATTAATTATTGCTCCGTTTGTTTTATTAGCTTAATAGTTGTTGTTGCCTTGTTGTACATATTTGTAATTAAGTCGGTATATCGGTAGTATATTCTGCTGTTTTGTAGGAAATTCTGTACTGTCCAGTGTTCCACACTATCAAATGCCTTCTCGAAGTCAATAAATGCCATGTATAGCGGGATATGATATTTGTTAGTTTTTTCGATCAAAATCTTTATCGTTAAAAGGTGGTCACTTGTACTGAAGCTCTTTCTAAATCCGGCTTGTTCTCTTGCCTGGTATCCATATAATTTAGTTGTTAATCAATTTGTTAATATTTTGGTTAATAGTTTGTACATCACATTTAGTAAAGTTATGGGTCTGTAATTCTTTAGATCCTTTTCACCTCCTTTCTTAAATAGTAACTGTGTTATTGCTTCGTTCCAACTGTTGGGTATTTGTTTTGTTATTTATAAGTATGTATAAAACTTCTTTAGTTATTTTCCCACCATGTTTTAGCATTTCTATAGTCATTCCGTCTTTTCCTGGCGATTTAGTATTCTTCATCTCTTTGAGTGCTCTTCTTATCTCGTTCTTACTGATTTCTGGTTGTAAGTCGGAATTAACATTATTTATTTTTATTTGTAGTTGCTTAAGGATTTCTTGGGTTGGTTTCTGTTTTGTATTGTAGAGGTTTTTATAATATTCTTATGTTATTTGTATGATTTCTTCTATATTATTGGTCTCTGTACCTTCTTTGTTCTTTATACCAATAATTTGTATGGTTCCAAACTGTGGTTTTAAGCACTTGTTTTTATTTTGTTCAATTGCTTTTTCTATTTTTTCTTCCTGTACGCTCCTTTTATATTCCTTGATAATCCTTCTGAAAGTTTTGTTTACCTCTTTGTAATCTACTGTGTTTCTCTTATCTTGTTCCAGTAATGTTTACTAATTTAACCCTGCTGTACCGTTCGAGTAAACTACACAAATGTACTGTTCGGGTCAATATGACCCAACTATGATTTACGCTCCCTAATAGAAATAAAATAAGCTAATGGTGCTAAACAAAACTGTATTAATAAAAAATTATAGTTAATTAAACAATAATTATATTGTTACTGTAAATTAAACCTTATTAACAAAAATAAAAAGCATTTTTTCTTTCCCAGAAAACCCTAAGAACAAATATCTACAAAATTTAATTCAGTTTACAACTGGGACAGTAATAGAAAGAATGGGTTTTACAAATATGTTTATGACATATACAACATAAAATATTAGTCTTGTTATCCCTTTTAGAGCAAAATTTACAGCGTGCTCGTTTAGCAGGCGGAGTTGGATGGTCCATAGACGGTTCACTAGAATTTCCATCTTCTCTACTCGCTTCTGCTCGTGTTCTTTTTACCAGTTCTTGTGAGTCTTTAGTTCTCGGTAAATTTTTCCTGGAAAGGATAAGTGGTTTCACCAGTGTTTTTCCCAACTCCTCAAGAAAAATTCGTCGTTTTGTAAGTTTATTGGTATTCCATTGGGGATTTATCGATGTCCATAAAACGAACGCGTTGTAGGCAGAAATGTCCAGCATATTGTAAAAAACAATCATGGGCCAGCGATTTGTCTTCCTCTTACATGTATATGTACCAACAAGCTGATCTAGAGTATCCACTGCCCCCTTACTGGAATTGTAATCTAAAATAATTTGGGGCTTCTTGTCATTTCTGTCACTAATAGCCTTTTCATGATGCAAAGTACTCATAAGAATAACATTTTTATTCTTTTTAGGAATATAGTTAACAACAGTGGTATCTTGTGTGAAGTAAAAAGACGAACTATGAACTTCTTTATTCGCAATTTGTGCTGGAAGCTCTCGTTTATTTTTTCTTATAGTCCCCAGCATTGTATTTTTTCTTTTTAGAAGAAGTTGTCCTAAATTGTACGATGTAAAAAAGTTATCACATGTAATATTGTGGCCTTTCAAATCACTACTCAAGTCGCACACCACACGCATTCCCTGATTTCGTTCTGGCGCGGCACCTGCTTCCTTTCCTGTATAGATCTGCAATTTTAGAGCATAAGAACTTTTACTGTCACATAAGGCCCAAATTTTTATGCCATATTTCGCTGGCTTGCTTGGAATGTACTGTTTGAATGGACAGCGGCCTCTAAAGGCAACTAATTGCTCGTCGACGGTAACATTTTCATCAGGGTTAAAAAATTTTGGTAGATTTTCAACCCATTTTTCCCAAATTTCACGTATTGCAGCAAGTTTATCAGTACGTCTCCTATCCTGTCTAGTAGTCTTGTTATCAAAACGTATTACTTGCGAAATTTTTGTAAATACTTCAAGGGACATTGTTGCTCGAAATATACTACGACCCGTTTCTTCATTCCACAAACTTTTAGTTGATTCACCATGGGACTTAAAAACTCCAGCTAACAATAACAGACCAATGTATGCTTGAAAACCAATTTTATCTAAGTCTTTCCAGTTGTTTCCAAAAACACGCTGTCCTTCCATGTTGGTCATATTTATAATTTGGTTTGCAACTATGTCAGAAAAGAGTGCGTCAAATGAATTTTTAATATCGAAAATTCGTGCACATGCGTACCTTGTAACTCCTGGAGCATTATTTATAACATTGGCCGTAGAAAAACGACCGCGTTGATAAGGAGGATCGAGCGACCATTGGATAGTATCGTCTTTTGAAGGAACCGTTACAGAAGGTTCTACAGGATGTTGTACGTAGAATGGAACACCAAAGGATTCATCACTACTTTCTTCCTCACTCTCACTACTTGTATTGTTTTCTGTTTCTGATATGCACTCATCACTCTCTGACACGTTCGCGAGCTCGCGAAGCTCATCTTCGGTTAGCGCTCTACGGTGCGACATTATCAACATACAAACATAGACTGAAATTTGAAATATAAACGAATAAATGAATGCGCTTGGCCTTGGAATATTAGTGTTTTACCACTTGTCTATCACCCCCACTTCCTTTTACGTGACATGCCATTCTACCTGACATCGTCCAGCTACACTACACATATTTTACAAGTTCTAGCTTGTAGAAACTTGTTTTTATTTATAGACGTACCTGACTGACAAACACTATTAGAAAATATAAAATACTACCAACTAAACATACCTATACAGGTAATTTTTAACGGTTTAAATAAGTGGGTCATATTGACCCGAGCGTACCATAGGTAACAATTTAATTTTTATCAAAAAAATGAGCAAGTTGATTTTTTATCTTTTATGCAATTGAAAGACCTCATATTAAGTAATAAAGTCACGAAACACCAAAACGTTACGCCGCGTAATAATTTGTAAAATTAGAAATAATTTATTTTTGGGTCAAATAGACCCGAACAGGACAGCAGGGTTAATTGTCCAGGCGTACCCAGAGATAATACAAAGGTTAAAGAATATATTTGTGTAGTATATAATATAAATAAAAATATTTTGTTTTAAACTAATTATAGACTTTATTTAGAACAATTACATAATTAATTAGCAATTGGTTGGTTTCTGGCAAATTTGTTTATCATCTCCAAGGCCCAGTAGGGTTGATCGGCCGGTACCATATGTCCAGAATTCCTAACCATAATCTCCGTCAAATTACCTGCTGTCTTGACATACCCAGCTATAACATTATCTTTCCCAGTCTGCCAAAATTGCCTTACGGCTTTAGCATAAACTTCGGAGGAATCAAATTTAAGGTTTTGCAAATAGTCAACAGTCATTGGATAGGCAACTATAATGTCTACTTGTCCATTATATATTAAGACTCTGTATTTACTAAGAAGGTCAGCCACCAAATGAGCTTGAGACACTGGGATATCATTAGATAAATTAGAGTAAACATTTCTGTCATCAAATTCAGTATTACCAACATGAATGGCTTTTCGTAAGTCTTCCCTTTGGAATAACTCTTCCATATATTTTTGCTCACTGTTATCTGGTACTAGTGTAAGATAATTGTAAATGTCTAAACCACATTCCAAGCTAATGAGATTCAAATCATAATTCATAGATTCTGCAGCTTGCTGGTATTCCTCCCTAAGAATGTAACCAATAGCTGAAATAAATACATTTATTACTATTGATATGTCATTATTATGCTATAAGTAACTAGTTAAGTTTTGTCCCGTGAAATTTTCGGAAAATTCGAAAATTTGGAAATTTGATTCGAAAATTATTTTAAATGACAAGCTTATAGTCCTTTTCCATCATATTGATAGTATATTATGTATGCAAATCCTCAACAGGTCAAAAAACCATAGGCGTCACCCTATACTTGTTTTGAAATAAATAAAAAAATTAATATTTTGAGATGCCGTCAACAATTCATTATCTTTTAAAAAATCTTCTGTAAAATAAGTGTCCACTAATCTCACTATACCTTTTTGTGCGTAAAAAACGTCGATATATATATGCCACACGATTATTGTTAATTATACACGGGTGATTAACGAGAGAATTCAATGTTTCACGAAATAAATTAATGTAAACAGTAATTTAAAGGTGATTATTGTTTTCTATACAAGTTATCGCCTGACACAAAAAGAATACCTTCTTTGAACGATTACCTGAAATTACTGATAAGGCTTCACTAATGATAGTTTAAGTAATTTTTATGCCACATTACAGCTTATGCCAATAATATAAATTAGAAATTGTTTTGCATCTTTCATGTAGTTTGTAGATGTACATTGTTCATGTCTTACCTACCTACGTTTTTGTTGTCGATATTTTGTTATTTGCATTTAAAAATAACGTCGACAACAGGTTTTATCCCGGTTAAGTGTAGTTTTAAAGGTGCCTTCAGTCTAAGAGAGAAAAATATAATATTAAATGTACACGATGCACTTGTACATCAACGCCTTTAAGTAATGTTCGTGAAATCGTTAACATTTGTTCAAATATGACAGAGGTTGGAGAAGCAACAATTTATAGATTCCTAAAAGAAAGAAAAGGAGGAACTGTTTCATCTCACAAGAAGAGTGGAGGGAGTAAACCCTTGGAAATTGAAGAAATATATAAAAATATGATAAGACGCAGCGTCCACTCATTTTTTTTACAAAGAATTTCCAACATTGGACAAAATCCAAACATTAATTAGGGAAAACGAAGAGTTACCAATCATAAGCAACAAGAAATTATGGGGACTATTGAGAGAGAGATGGGATTTCGTTGGCAAACGAATAGAAGAAAATCCGTTTTAATTGAAAAAGATTACATTGTATGTTGTAGACGAGATTATCTGAGAACTATTAAAAAGTACCGAAAAGAAGGGAAAACAATTTTTTATTTGGACGAGACTTGGCTAAATGAAGGTCATACTGTACCATATCTATGGGTTAATACAAATGTGAAAAGTTCCTGTAAGGCATTCATCGAAGGTGTATCTACTGGAATAAACAATATTCTTGTTGGAACAGGACGCAGACTCATAATAACCCATAGTGGAAACGAATACGGTTTTGTCAATGGTGGATTATTAAGTTTTGCATCAAAATCAACCAAAGACTACCACGAGGAAATTACTGCTGACGTTTTTGAAGAATATTTGGAGCAAATGTTGGATTTAATTCCAAAAAATTCTGTCATAGTCATGGATAATACTAGTTACCATTCAAGATTAGCAGAAAAATTGCCAACAACGGCATGGTAAAAAGGAGAGATAATCGAATGGTTGGATAACCACGCAAATGAGTACAAGGAGAATTCGACAAAAAAAGAATTATTACCTATTGTAAGGCAACATAAAGCAGCTTATAAAAAATACATAATTGATGAAATGGCATTAAACCGTGACGTAATTATTTTATATTTACGCCCTTACCACTGTGATCTGAATCCGATAGAAAATATATGGTCTCAAGTAAAGGGTGAAGTCGGACGTAACAACAAAACTTTTAAATTAGAAGACTTACAACAATTATTAGAACATTCCTTATCAAAAGTAACTCCAGAAAATTGGAAAAATGCTGTTTGCCATGCTCACAAGGAAGAAAATAAAATGTGGAATTTGGATAATATGACTGATGCAATGCTAAAACCGGTAATAATTAACATTGGAGTTGAAGATTTCTTAAATTCTGAAGAAAGCAGTGAATCTGAAATGGAAGTTGATTAAAATAATATTCATTTTTTTACAAATCGGCCCCTGTTACGGCCACAAATTATTTTATATATAACCAATAAAATAAACATCTTACATTTCTTGCAAATTCATTAGTACCTGCTAATCTCCATCACTCCGACACTGGCAACTTTATTTAGGGATTAGTAACCCTCAAAACTATTGTATTCTATTCTGGTTCAACCTTTATACCTAGTCACACTCAATTTAAAATGGTTTTCCTATATGTTTACTTCTGTAAACTTGTTGACAAATATCTATTTTTCATTGAGTCACCCGTATTAACAGTTTAGGGATTTGCATACATAATGTGCTATCAATATGATGGAAATGGACTATTACATGAAAATAAACAAAATTTTAGAAAATAGATTTTTTATAGAGCGCTTACCACATGATATTTCGAGGTAATTTATATTATGTGTTCTCAAGATCAATGAAGAGCATATGAGCATTTGTATCTTTATTCCTGTATTTTCTATCAACTTCTTTTTCTTCTTCAGCCTTAAGTAATCCAACTTTGGACATAAACCTCCCCCAAATCAATCCAGTGTCTTTAGTTTTGCGCTACTTGCTTCTAGTTGTGTTCTCTGATCTTCTTAGTATCATCCGCCCATCTCATTTTTAGCCTTCCTCTCCTTCTCTTTCCTAACCATGATCTCCATTGTTGTATTCCGTGGTTTCATCTCTTATCCTTCAGTCAGGCATTGTGTCCTGCGAATCTCCATTTTAATTTGGCTACATGTTCTCCTGCGGCTTTTGCTTTGGTTTTGCCTCTAATCCATTTGTATGTTTTTTTGTTTATAAGTCTCACCCCAAGCATTGATCTTTTCATCGCTCTTTGTACTTTTACTATTTTATCCATATTAGACTTGGTAAGTGTCGACGGCTGTGAACCATACGTGAGTATAGGGAGGATACACTGATCGCAAATTTTAGTTTTTAAATATTGTTCTAATTTTGTGCTTTTCAAGATCCAACTAATTTTTCCAAATCCTGCCCACGCTAACCTTATTCTTTTGGTAATTTCTGTAGTTTGATTTTCTTTGTTAATTTTCATTATCTGTACTAGGTAGACGTATTCACTTACTCTTTCTTAATTTATGTCCTTCAACTTTATTTCTGCAATGTTCGGTGTATTTGTCATTATTTTAGTTTTTTATTCAAGTTCATCTTAAAACCTACTTTTTCCGAAGCTTGAAATAGTTGCATCATCATGGTTTGTAGTTCTTCAAACTTTGTAGCGAATATTACAATGTCATCAGCATATCTTAAATGACTCATTTTTCTTTCATTAACATTTATTCCTTTATCTGAGCAGTTAATGTCTTTGAACACGTCTTCCAGTCCAAGTGTGAATAGCTTTGATGAGATATGATCTCCCTGGCGAACTTCTCTGTTGATTGGTATAGCTTTGTTTTTCATATCTATTTGTATTTTCTTTGTAGCTTTCTTGTAAATATTATGTATGAGCATTATGTATCGGGAGACCATCCTGCAGTTGTTCTTAGCTCTCTCTATTGCCCAAAGTTCTATGGAGTCGAATGCCTTTTCATAATCAACGAAGTCAGTGTATAGGGTTAAGTGATATTCAGTGGCTTTCTCTATTAGAGTTATGAATGTAAGAAGATGATCCGCTATACTGTAACCCTTTCGGAAATCTGCCTGCTTTACCGGTTGATATCTATCGAGCTTCGACGTTAACCTGTTAGTTATTACTCTCATAAACAGTTTGTACATTTCGAACTGCAGGGAGATTGGCCTATTGTTCTTCAGATCTCCCCTGTCTCCCTTTTTAAAGAGAACTATTGTCAAACTTTTCTTCCAATCATCTACGAAGATATTCGTTGAAAAAATTTTTCAATTCTTCGACAATAATTTCACTCACTCCTTCAATATTTCTACAAGTATTCCATCTGGGCTCGGAGCTTTATTGAAGCGAGTTGACATTCGTTATCTTTCTCTTAAGATCTTCCTTTGTATTGTTATCTGAGTTTATGTTTGAGGAATACAAATCAAGGTAAAATGTTTGAGTAACTTTTAGAATTTCGTTCTTTTCTCTTATTTTTTTTTTCATATTTATCCTTTAACCCTCGAGCGGGCACGCCCGTGTATTTTGTACTCGTCCAATAGAAAAAGTCGTCTAAAAATAGAAGTGTCGTCAATCTGGCGATATCGTCGCGTCTATTCGTCCAGTAGAGATCTGTCGTTCGAATAGTTGAGTAATATTTTTTGTTGCAGCTGAGTTTTGTGAGAATTCTTATAAATACGAAAGTGTGACGGTTTTGTGTACATAATACACAGCGCGTCTTCTAGTGTAAGTATTTTATCCATTAATTATTTTACTTTATAGAAAGTTGTAATTCGAAACTAAAGTAAAATTGACTTTTTACTTTATTAGTTTTACTTTATTTTAGGTTGAACAGGATATTGTAACATAATTGAAAGGAATATAACGACTACGCTGAGAGAATATCATGTAAGAATTTAGTGCATTGTTATATTATTTGTGTGTTACTTTTTTTATTTTTGCAGGGCTAGAAAGAACTCTGAGGCTGAGTTATATAAAATTCTTAATGAAGACCCAGAAACAGAAACTAGTGAAATAGAATATTCCGATGAATCTGAGATAGATAAAGAAATAATACACCATGATGAGCACAATTCTGAATCTGAACAAGAACAGAATGACCACGACAGAGTCAGTAACTTCGAGGATATTAATGCAGTAAGTACCACTGCTTTCCAATATTTTCAAGGTAAAGATAAAAAAACTGCATGGCGTAAGACTCCGCTGTCGTCGCAATCAAAAATTAAAATCTGAGACAGATGAAGAAATAATACACCGTGATGGCCACAAGTCTGAATCTGAACAAGAACAGAATTACCACGACAGAGCCAGTAACTTCGAGGATAATACTACAGTAAGTACG